TTGCTGCATATGGGCCCCTGAGCAAACCATTCAGTTCTGGTGCAAACCATTCATGAATGTCACCATGTTCGCACCATGTTGTTTGTAAACCTTTTGAGAAGCAGGTTTTCCAAGGGCATCTATTTATCATGGCAAACCATGCCTGTTGTGTCCCTTGTGTGTCTAATTTATATAACCTGCTTTTAGACACTGCTTTCCCATGGAACAGCACAACAGATCAAAAGATCGAAGAAAAGTACATCATGAGGTAAAATGCAGGTCACTGTATGCACCTTACACATAACAAAGATTAACAACACATAACTTCACGGTACTTCGAGAATAAATTTGTGTTCAATCAAATCAGGGTCACTGCACTCCTGCTTCTTGTAGGTGTTCAGTTATCCTGGACCCTTGGGTACTTTTTCAAACACATACATGTGGAATCTTGGTGGATCCAGTTTTATAAGGGTTGAGAAAAAGTTATGCTGAAGATTGTGTCGTGGTTGTTTATAATAATAATAATTTATTCATTTATAAAATGCAAGTTTCATACAGATATGTTCAAATGCACTGTACAATGAAAAATATTAAGCATAGAAAAATGAATACATTTAAATATGGTGGAGCCGATGGCATACAAGGGTGCCTCAGGCAGCCGCCAAATGACCTACATTCACAGACATCAGTAAAGAGGAGACAATAAGAAGCAGTTACAGTTTTAGAGGTGGGAGGAAAACCCCAAAGGAACTGTCAGGTAGGGACTGAAAACCCAATCCACATATGGACTGGGCCGGGAATCAAACCTGGGGCCACAGAGGTGGAAGGCGAGGAAAGAACTACATGTACCTTGCCAACCTGATTCCCCATGTTTGCCCATATGTCATCCCTAACCATATCTGACAGTGGGCACTTTCTGTTAGATTTTGTGGATGCGACCAGTGAACGAAAGGCCTTAATTCTGGCTGTTGCATGTCATTAGATTCAGCAGGGCAGCAAAACAAGTAGGGAAGGGGTTTAGAATTCATGCATTTAACATTTTTATTGCATGGAAAAAAATGTGTAAATTTGAGAAAAATTTTATCATCCAAAAAGTTTCGTCACAATCCAAAGATCTTTTGTTACAACAAATTCCTCTGGAGTATATGCCTCACCACATTTGCACATAATTGGACAGAGCAATTTCTTCTGTTGACTGTACACCTGTTCAATATTGAATCTGTTACGACCTCTTAACCACAACAGCGTTTACAAAGTTTAGTATGACATTGGACTTTGGCCATAGTAAACTAAATTTATCAGCTGTTGGAAGTTGCACTTTGCCCTTTCCCAATCTGAGTTACCATTTACTAATGTAAATGCATGTATCTTTTGGGCAATGAGATGGGTGTATCCTCTATGTTAGTTTTAAGCGTAAGTTTGTGCTTGGCTTGCCAAAATTCATCACGGGGCACTCCCAGGTGCTACAGTGATTTGTCATAACCTGAAATGTGCAGCATAAGCATTGTTGCTTGAAAGGGGATCATTCCAGTTGTGGTAGGACTTGAGGCCTACACGTATGCATGTTAGGATATTGCATCAAAATCTCAGTGCAATAAGGTTAACCCCAGAAAACTCTCTGAGTGTTGAATGATGAAATGAAATCATTCAGTGGAATGAACAAAAGCTTACAAGAGAGATTCATGAGTAAATTAAAGGAAGTCACTGCACTAGTGTAAGGTTGATCGCAGGTACAGTTCTGTTCAGAATTCATTTATTTTTGAATACATGTAATCACACTGGCTAGTTAAAAGCTGGTAAAAAAAATGTTTGTGCATGCCTGCAAGTGCATGATGAAATGTATTCGTTCATTGCCGTTGAAGTTCTTCTATTTCTGTGTTCACGCTCCAATTTCTAAGATACATATAACTTATATATGTGAAGTACCTTCCCTTACTCCATCCAGTACAGGTACTGGAGAAATTCAGGAGAACATATCCACTCACGAATGTCAAATGTATGATGAACATTAGACCATCGGGTTTTTTTGTTAACATTTTAGAATATGATATCTAAATTTGTCTTACATGTAAATTGTGAAGTGGGTCTTCTAAATTGCTGAGGACTTGTTAGACTTTTACATAATTTGTATAACAAATGTGGTAAGAATGGACTGGAGTTTCTAAATGATGTCCCTCTGGCTGAAACCTTGTCACTGTCTGAAATTTGTATGTTCTGAGGGTTTTACTTGCTTGGCTGAAACAGGGTACATGTAAATATGGGGTCATTTGCTGTTACAAATCATTGCTGGTTTGGGTAGCTCTTGATGAACATATGGCCACCAGTGTCCATATTGATATCTATTATCTTTCAGGTCGGGAAAAAAAAAATTGCACACCATGCTAGTGTGCTTTTACGATTCCCTTCAGTCCACTTAGCCATGGCATAGTGTGTATTATCTTTTACCAAACCATAACAGAAATATGTGTAAGTGTCTGAATAGGAAGTTGCTATGAAAGCAAACAAACCTAGATGGGCTTGCATCTTCCATACTGATCTATAGTGCTTTTAAGTTCAAGATAAATCAAAATCTAATATATAGCATGAGCTTCAGCTGTACATGTACTGGTAACTCTTCAAAGTGATGCACATGTACATGTATAGTACATGTATGTTCTATGGATTTCAGAATCTCTGTAGTAAACTTCACTCTCTGTATTTTACTTATGCACATCAATCTGACGGTCATACCAGGGAGGAATAAAACACATCAGACTTACATAGCTGCATACCAGTACATGTTTAGGCTCATGATCTGTGCAATGAAACATGTACATGTATTCCCTGTCTGATGGAATGTGCATCCGGGAATGCTTTCAAGACCTGGGTGTTGGCATTGCATTAGGGCTACATTGAAGAAGCTGTCGAATCCCGACAGGCGGGGGGGTTTGTCATTCTAAATCCGACCCAAGTTATGCATCATTAAATGCTTCGGCAAAAGGTGTTAACATTGCACTGTGGATTCAAGTCGCTAGGCCCTGTGTTGACCCACTGCACAGAGACAGGACTGTCATTCTGAATCCGACCCAAATTATGCATCATTAAAGGCTGCAGAGAAAGGTCTTTAACACTGTGTCTTGGATCCAAGACACTAAGCCATGTGCTGACCCACTGCGCAGAATAGACAAGACTGTACCTTGTCCAAATGAGCATAGCTGAATAACGTGTAGTATTTTATAGCGGAACCTTCTTCCCAACATTGAAAGACTTGAATTGACTGAAATATTGCACTGTTTGTAGTGGTACCTCTCCTGTTCCTTGACCCAATAGTCCCAAACCCTCCTATTGTATTTACCCTCTGTGTTGTACATGCACCTGAAATTTGTTGTTAAGCCTGTGCTGTTGTTTGAATCGAATTTTGGCATACATGTGAAATAAAAATCATCAGGTGATATGGTGCATGAAATTAACATGATTAACAGTCGAATGACGGTCCACATATCAAGGGGCTGTTTAAATGCCCAGCACTTTGAGATATATGACCACACTAAGGCATCGTTTCATTTGTCTTAACTATCATTAGATGCCAATTCAGATGCATGTACATGTACACCTTACTCGGGGTTCCCGGTCAGTTAGTGAGAATAAAAATTGTACACTGCATGGAAATAATTGGCTGCAAAAAAAGTGCATGTGCGCTAGCCCAGATTCTGGCTAAGATCTAAAAAATGTGCTGGCCGGAAATTTTTTTTACATGTTCTAGGAGGTTTTGTGTTGACACATCACAGGGTTGACATTGGTTCAGATGTGTTTGATTTTCAATGATCAAGGAAAGTCCAAAGCCCAAAATTATGCCTCTCATTTAAAAATTCCTCACTGACTTGTTTATCCCTCCTTTGCTTCTCTGACAGGGCTCCGAGCTGCTATGGAGGCAGGACCTGCCAGAATCAATGACCTCACCATAATCCAAACTGCTCAGGTATTACTACTTTCAGTTTGGCTTAAGTCCTCATTGTTTTATCTTTTTAAACTTTACTCTTTGATATTTGCTGGTCACAAGCAAGACTGCTCACCTGTCATTTCCAACCAGGCCTTAGTATATTGGATGTCCCACTTTCATAACTTTAGCTCATCACTGTGGAGAAGGAACTTGACAAACACTGACCATTATTTGCACAAGTGCTCAAGCCTTGCATTTTTGCTCTGTGTCAACATTTAGATGTGCTCATTTGTGTGCCATGAATCTCGCTTGAATACAGCTTGTACATGAAGGCATTGTCTAATAAGAAACACAGTTAGTCTCCAGTTTGTGGTTTGTGCGTATAGGTGATTCTGAAATTTTTTGGGGGGGGGAATGCATTTAATTTACAGTTTTGTCATGAACTACTAGATTTTAATTGGCACTTGGTAACATGGAGGAAGTAACTCAAGTTTCATTGCCAATACAATAATCCTCATCAATTAGCATTCAAGCTTACGGTATGCCGCCATATGGTGATTATTTATAGTTTCGTGTCTCCCATAATTGCTTTTAATGCTGTGAAACAGCATGTTACAGGGCTCAAATTACGACTTTTTTGGGGGGGGGCACTGCCATTTTGGCCTCAAGAAATGGGACATGTTAAGGGGTACAGCAGCCAGTAACGGGCAACAAGGCCAAAATTTTCAGGGCACCACGGCCAATTGTAAGGGCACCACCATGGCCGCCTCGGCTATGGTGAAATTTGAACGCTGATGTTACCAAATGAAATGCTAAAGAATGATAATATTGTCTTTGTTTTGGAAAGAACTAAGATTTATTTTGATGTGCTCTCCTATTGATCTTGTCAGAAAGTAGATTTTAAAAATATGCACTTCGTGTTGTTTTTTCAGGGCCTGTTACGCTACCTGGAGTCAGTCAACCCAGAGTTCAAGTCTCAAGGCATTGTGATTGGCTACGATGCTAGACACTGCAGTAGAAGGTATCCATGACAACCAACTTGTTCACAAAAGGCTTGTTTATTCAAAGTATTGCAGTCAAGGGGTTTGATAGTTGTACAGTGTACTTGAAATTGGAGTGTTCAGTAACTTGATTGTCTGTTGTCATTTTATATCTTAGGCATTTTTGCTTCCTGAAAGAAATGAAGAAGTCAAAGGTCAGGTTCATGTGTAGTGCATATAGCAGTGGCCCAACATGTGGTAGCAATCCTGTGCGCTTTACTACAATTTTTGCCGATAGTTTGAAAGGCGAAGCAAATGTTATTGTTACTTCACTTCGTTGTTTAGATCCCAGTTTTATTCAGGCACAAGTAATGCCCAAATGATTTACTTCACAATGTACGATTTGGAAGGACCCGGAAATCATGCCTTGAGAGTTTCAGTTTTAAATGAATAAGATCTTTCTGAAAAAAATTCCCCAAATTATTTGTTGTACATTTGCTGACACTCTCTGTAGATACGCTGATCTGACGGCAGCCATTTTGTTGCACGATGGAATCCCAGTGTTCCTGTTCTCAAAGATAGTCCCCACACCATTTGTTGTGAGTTGACAAATCTTTATCGTCTGTCCTGTTTATTCTTGATACATTTGTCATTTACAACTGCCCTTGAGTAATCGTGAGTCTTTGTCACTCTTGCCTGCTGGTTGAAGCAGAAAGATACTCGCACATTTAAAGTTCTAACCTTGGGTAGGGATTAAGATGAAAGTGGATTCAGCATCAAATGTCTCAAATACTGCTGTCCTGAAAATTAAACGTTCCCTCAAAAGCGGAAGGGGATGTGCAGTCCTGAAATGGAAAAAAAGGAGAGACATCAAAGAAGAAGAAGTATCGGGTTATTGAGGTGGAAAGATATTCTCAAACTGCTTTTCTGGGGACTGGGAAAGTGATTGGCATGATAGCGTGAGTGATGTTAACCCATGTTGTTGATGTCGTTATCAAGGAAAAGTACAAGTTTACTAACCTGACACCTCGCCACATGCGAAGCAAACAAACCCTCTTCGTTAGCTTAAGTGCAGCTTTTGTTACTGTGCAAGGGATATTGTGACAAGACCTTGTTTTTTAGAAATATTCAGGGATAGTTCCTGCCAATCATACATCTTAATCCTAAGCAGCAGATGGCAGCAAAACATTTACTTCCCGAGAAACAGAGATCATTTCAAGAGTAATGGATGATGAAAGACATTGTGGCATCAGTTATCAAATGGACATTGTCATGAAACTGAACAGTTGTGGCAATGATACGCCCCAGTCTGTGCCAACAGTGACATGCCATCAACACAATTGTAATCCATCTCTGTATGGTCGGTGTTCTACCGGGTGCATGTCATCCTACTCTGATGGATGGCTTTCACTTTTGTTTCGACTACTGTTTCACCTTGGTTCCGTTTTTCCAGGCATATGCAATCAAGAAGTACAAAGCCGCGGCTGGGGTGATGGTAACCCCCTCACACAACCCCAGGGGAGACAATGGCTACAAAGTCTATTGGAACAATGGTGCCCAGGCAAGCATTGCTACATTCCTTATTAGTTTGACCTTTTCTTAATAAGATCCATTCTATGAAACGTTACCCTCCTTCAAAAATCATGAGAGGTGTGACATCCTGTTCAGTGTATCAAAAAATGCCATTCTAAAAACATTCCAAAGTGTCCGTATTTTTCTAGACAACTGAGTGCACAGTTGCCACAATGTCATTCAAAAAGACACTATTGTACAGGTTTTTTTGTTTAAAATTATTCTGCCAAGATTTGCTTATTGCAAACATTTCTGAGAAAAGGTTGTGTATTGGCTTATTACCATCTACTTCCATAACAACGAAGCATTAAATAAATGGTGATTGTGCAAAAAATCACATGCAACATGCAGGCTTTCTTCCTAGACTGACATCATAAATATGGAAATTCACATCAGCGAAAAAACCAAAACTGCATCAAAGTAGCCAAATAAAAATTTTAAATTGAGGTTATTTGAAACACAAATGTGCATTTTCAAGGTTTGTCGTTTATAAAAATGTATCACTCAGACCATTCAAATTTCACATATTGCAACTCATAGTCAAAGGGAAATATACATTTATGAAACGTATTATTTAAAAATCAAAGTTGCAGTAAACCTCGCAATCACATTTCTAAGCATCTGAAAACTGAAGTCATTAAAGTATTTTAGGATTTAACCAGACCTGCTAACTTTTACCATTTTATCATATTTAGTCTGATTTTTTTAATTTTTAGCAGCAGAAAATCGGAGTGGTACAATTTCTGAATTTTTCAGTAAAAGGAATATTGTTTTTGTTTTTTTTTTTAATCATTTTCAAAATAATTTTTTTTTTCAACAAATCATCCATTGGTTTATACTTTACTCATCTCTTCGCACCGTGATTCTTTTTTGTTCGGCACTTGGGCTCTTTAGAATTGATTATCAGGTATTTTAGCTGCTCACATATGACACAATTTGACTCAATTTGACACGGGGTACCAGTGCAGGCGCAGGAGTGCAACAGTGGCTCTTTTCTTGGGGGGGCGCATATTAGAGCTGGAATTTTTTCTCTCACTCTTACATGCAGCTTGTGAGGTGAAGATCTTCATTTTTTTCCCTTCCTTAAGACGGTATTTTCCTTTCTACATGGAAAAGTGAAAACCTGCCAGGAAACAAATGTTCACTGAGGAATATAAGGAGAAATATCCGTGTATCTCAAGATTGACAAAAGGAGAAACTTACGCATTTTGTAAATTTTGCCGAGTGTGATATCAGTGTTGCTCGAGGAGGAAGTAATGATATAATGAGCACAGAAACCCTAAGTTCCATTATGACCCACCGGCTAGCTGTGGACAGCAGAAACACCAGTTGCTATTCAACATCGCATTCTAACGATGTCCTCAGCAAGGCCAAGAAGGCAACTTACAAAGCACTCAATGCTGAAAATAATGGAGCAAGTACCTCCACTGCAAACTAAAAACATGTTGGATACATTTATCTTGCTTTGTGGTTACACTCTTGCTTACAATTTAGTGGTTAAAGTACGTGTAAATCATATGACAAAAATAGCTGATTTGGAGCCGTTTAAAACCCTAAAACCCAGGAGCTCGCGGGGGACCCCTAGACTCCCGCCATGATGGGCATGCGCAAACACTCACATTGAGTAGGCCTTATAGGTTTCAAATATTGGCAGGTCTTTTGAACAAGTCAACAAAAATACAGAACCTGGCATGTGTATTACATGTACTCGGTACGTGCACATTGCTGCGGCCATTGTTTTTGATTTGTTTTATACAATAATGCCAGTCCGCTGGTTATGTAACCAATGAACTCATTGGTTTGAGACTTGCCCATGCAGGTGTTATAATTGAATGAAGTAAGCTTTTTGAAATAAGCTAAGCAGCTGTTACTCCGAACTTAAAAAAACCTCCAAGCCCTGTAAACATTAAGTCCATGAGTTTTAGATGCGTCGTGCTATAAATCTGTTAATTCAAACTTTCCAGCTGCAACCTGGAATGTTGATGTTCAGAGCAAAATCAAGCATGCCATTAATGACATTTCCCCTGATTTCCATCTCTTGTTAAAGAGTACCAGGGCTGTTTCCAAATGACTTGGCTGGGGCTTGAAATTACACGAGTCCATGATGGTGGCTGCAGCCACTTCCCATAGAGTCTTGCATCATTCAGAGCCAAAGCCTGGTAATTCCGACAAGGCCCTAATCTCAGGAAAAGGTTACTGTTTTAATACCAGACCAAGTCTTAAACAAGGCCAAATTTCACAGAGCTGCTCAAAAGAAAATATTCCATATTTAAGTGGAAACCAACAGGAAGCCAGATGCAAGGAATACACCATGCATGAAAGTTTTGTTAGTACCTCCCCAACTTTTGTGCAAATGCCAAACAGAAGAGTTTTTCCATGTGTGCGCATGATAGTGATCCCAGACCTTGCCAGTATTCAGTGTCTGGCACTGCAGACTATTGTCTGAGGCTCCTATACATTTACAGTGATCAATAAAGCAATACCAGAAAATTCAATAAATCTCTGGCTTAATGAGATTCTGAGAAAGTTCACAGTGCTGAGGAGTGGGGATACTCCAGGTCAGGTCTTTTGTTACCGAGAGGCGAGAATGAATAATGCATTGGAAAAAGGGCAGTTAGTATCTTTGTGTGGCATCAATAATGCAGTCCTGACAAGTGCACAGAAGCAAACCCAACCTTTTTTTTTTAGAAAACAAAAAGTAATGAATGTGCTTCACATAGAATAAGAGTTTCTTTAAATTGTCATTCCGTTTGGAAAGTTGTTTTGCAGTTGTCAAATATGTTATTGGAATTGTTGAGAAATTGTGAGCACCAGAAGAGTTCCATTTTGGAAATAGTAAATCATTCTACAATTTTCAGGTCGTGAGTAAATTTACAAATTACTCAAGTGAATTTGATGATCCTTCAAGCAGGAATAGCTTTTTGAATCAACAAAGCAATCCACCTTGCACATAGAAAACGGCCAGGAGGTAACCAACTACCCAATAAATGGCATTTCTTAACTTGTTTTTATTCAGCCAAATAGCATCCCTTCGTTCAAGGATGTTTAAGGAAGTAGTCATGCATGTATCTTTTTTTGGAAGTTGGTTTGTGTAACTGGGGCTTTTACTCAATAAGCTGTGCTTTTGAGGGGCCTCCATCCAGAAGCGTGCCATGTAAGCATCACTCAACGTATTTTGTATCAATTTAAAGAATAAAGAGAAGTGAAATGCAGCGGTATGAATTTTTTTTATTTGTTTTGGATGCGTTCAGATCATCACTCCACATGACTCAGGAATCTCCAAACACATCATGGCTAACCTGGAGCCCTGGCAGACATCATGGGATACATCCATCATCGAGACGAGCCCCCTGAAGAAAGACCCCTTGGATGAGATCATGCAGCTCTATCTGACAGACATACAGAACAAGATATACGACAGGTAAGGATGGATGTAAAGAAAGGATGTCTCCTGGACCGTTTTTTGTTATACACCATTATCCTAACTCACTGTGCTGCACTGAAACAGAGCCAGGTTTTGTTGGTGTGCTAAGCAGATAAGATATGCTAAGCAGATAAAATAACTGGACAAGCAGTAGCATGCACTTCTGTGGGAAGTGGCTTCAGCTGATACTATTATTGTATGTCGGCAACATTATTCAAAAAATTGGCAGTTGATAAGGTATATCACCAGTTGAGGACTGTCAGTTTGTGACGATTGGCAGGGAGGCCCTGTCGTGTCACACCCAGTCAAGACATGTTCCTATGTCTGGACTTGACCAATCCCCCCTCTTTTCATGTTGGCCGTAAAGCCATCAGCACCAGACCAGAGCTTATTGTACCAGCTTCACTTAAGCTCTTCTAGTCCTAAGAGAAGTTACTGTGGACGCTGACCAGGTGTCAGTGTAGGGCAGGGTTGGCGTCATTCTGGAACAGCTAGTACTGCATCGTTTTCCACTCCCAGGCTGTCCATGTGTGGACGTAGAAGGTTTCTGCATTTGCATCCTGCAGCTGCTAGCCAGTGACCTACGTATTAGGACATGCCCGCTTGCAGTGTGCTTAGCACAAAGTACTTGCTAAGTATGGTTCAGTGTTCTCCAACACATGGAAGTGGCCTTCCAGCCCACCAAGTTTTGCTCAGCACCCACCAAATTTTAAAAAAAGCTGCTGAGCTTCAAAATCTGGCCGCCAAATTTAAAGAATGGATTATGTAACAACAGTCTGAAATACTTCAAGCAACATTATCTTGATGAAAAAAAGCTTCCCGCAGATGTCTAAAATTGCTTCCAATTTACAACAAAAAGTCTATTTGCTAATTAGTATGTGTGCCCAGAATGCACCAAATCTAAACTCAAAAAGAGAGAGGGTCCTTAACTGGGCTCTGAGCCCTTCGTTAAATTTGAGAATTGTTTAATCCTAACAGTGCCAAATCCTCCAATCTCAATACGATTTTACATACACCTTAGGGGGTTAGGGATAAGGTTTCTGGCAAAAAATTTTCAAGCTGTAAGCTGCTTGCGTCTGGTCTTCGGCAAATTATTGCTAATCGTAGAAACTCTTGTTTCCCATAATCAAGTTCATGAAATACAGCAAAGGACTTTGTATGTAAGAATCTGTACCAGCTCTCAAAAGGAAATTAATTTCCAGCCTTACCCAACGTTTACATGCTGTGTCTTTTGCATTCAGTTTTGATATACCTAAAGCTCACTGTCACTTTCCTTTAGACTATTATGAGACTGATATGAGAGTTATATGGATTTCTGTGATTGTTAGTGTTCAAATAGTGTGGGCCTTTTCAAATTGCTTGCTGCAGGATGTTACTCCAATTGTGGGCAATTTCATTTATGGAGATAGCCCTGCCTTTGAATTGCAACCAAGAACAGTTTTGTGTTACCATGACAACATACCTTCCGATTAGATTTCCCAGAAAGCCACATCACTGTACTAACATGAATGCAGTATCTCTGTCCCTCTTTGAGGCTTGTGAAGTGAGAAGGAACAGTTATGGCATTTCACACCTACGCGATGTCAGTGCCTTGTACTCATGCTCTTGAGAAATCCTCAATCACTAGTCCGTGTAATCATTAAACTCCGCAGTGTCCCCCTAGACAGACTAGATTCTCACTCAAATTGGCACATGCTTGGTCTATCATTCGCTTTAAAGTGTACCCACTGTGGATTCAACATCTTCAATAAATTCCTTTCAGAAGCTTTCAAACATAAAGCTCTTGAAAATTCCAGAGCTTTGCAAGCTCATACGTTTGTAAATTATTAAACACAGAACTCACAAATTAAAAGGATGTCATGTAGGTGTGCTTTTTCTTTTCAGTGACCAAAGGAGTTATAATACGCAATATATCCGTACACATTAAATGTAGAAATAACGGTGATAAAAGGTATTTTAAAGATGTTTCTGGTCTGTAACTTGTAACACAGTAACTCAAACATCCCGAGATCTCTGTTAACCTTAACAGTCCTCAATCCTCTAATTTCAATATGATTTGGCACACGTTCTAGGGGGTTAGGGTAGAATGTATTTGGTGATTGTTGAATAATTGCAGAACCTAACTTATAGTTTGACTTGTATCTTTGACATCTTCAGTTACCTTCGGTTGTTTATTCATGTTACTTCATCTTCAGTTACCTTTGGTTGTTCATTCATGTTACTTCATCTC